TACAGATTGTAATTTGAGAAGCAACTGTTCCAACATACCCTCAGTGCATAATATCTGTATGTTCTTCCCCAGAGCTTCCCTCCCCCAAACTTTCCTGCTGTGCCCTCTAGAATTACTGATTCCAGGTCAACAAATTATCTACAATCTGCTCTAAGTGTTTCCCCAAACTCCTTACCATACCTGCTCTCCCCTGAAGATATAAATTTCTATGTAAACTTGTGTAGTAATTACTGCTTATTCTTACATACCCAAGGACATCAGAGTAAGGAAGTGAAGTTGCTGTCTTCCTTATTCTCTGCCTCTGTCCTTCTTTCTAGTAAAATACCCCATTCTATTGGGGCCGTGGCATTTGAACTTGCAACTTTCTCCTGCTCCTTGTCCCTCTCACCTTCAAATCTTTCATCCACCCCCTTCCATCCATCAGACTTTGCCACTTTTTCTCTCCAAGCCATTGTCATCTCTTTGGGGAACCAAAGAACAACAAGCACATGGTCAATCTAACAACTCAGCTTCTCAGTTTCTTAACCACTGTGTTTACAATAACTTTCTCCAAAGCCTCACATTACCTCATATTTCCTGTGTTACACCTTCTTTATACAAAGCTTGGTGTCAAATATTTATTACTGTTAATAATTTTTTATTTTGTGAGACAGGGTCTCACTCTGGCACCCAGGCTGGAGCGCAGTAGTGTGATTATAGCTTACTGCAGCCTCAAACTCCTAGGCAAAAGTGATCCTCCCATCTCAGTCTCCTGAGTAGCTGGGACTACAGACATGTGACACCATGCCTGGCTTATTAATAACATTTTCAGAGCTAAAAGAGATTGTAAACATTCAATATCTTCTAAGTTTATATTTGTTTTAGTATTAGCTATACACTTAAATATAAATAATGTCGTGTGGGTTGTTATTATAATCATTTCCATTCATATTTTATGATAATCTTCTATATACCTTATCAAATCTGTAAATTCTCCCCTGAGAAACCCAAATTTAACATGCCTCTTTTATTACCTTATAAGTTTGCATTTGTGTGTTTTGCCCACAGGTATATTGATCACAGATTTAACAACTGAAACAAATTTTCTAAATACATGTAAAGCCACAATAATGCTACAGAGAGACCAACATACAATATTTGAATAACCTTTTATTTACATATACTATTTATATATGCTGTCATTTAAGTTCACATTGATCATTATGATAACTGCAGATGACAGGAAACTTAGGTTTGTACATTTAAGTTACAACTGCATAAAATTAACAATGAGGAGGTACTTTTGAACTTTCAGTAGAAGATAATAATTCCTTAGAAAATTAGCTCTAGGCTGGGTGCAGTGGCTCATGCCTATAATCCTAGCACTTTGGGAGGCCAAGGCAGGCGGATCACCTGAGGTCAGGAGCTCAAGACCAGCCTGACCATGGAAGAAACCCCTTCTCTACTAAAACTACAAAAAAATTAGCTGGGCATGGTGGGACATGCCTGTAATCCCAGCTACTCGGGAGGCTGAGGCAGGAGAATTGCTTGAACCTGGGAGGCAGAGGTTGCAGTGAGCCAAGATTGCACCATTGCACTCAAGCTTGGGGAACAAGAGTGAAACTCCGTCTAAAAGAAAGAAACGAAAAGAAACAGAGAGGAAGAAAGGAGGGAAGGAAGAAAGGAAGCAGGCAAGAAAGAAAGAAAGAGAGAGAGAAAGAAAGAAAATTAGCTCTGAATGGCCCCCCAAAATGTGGGTTCTATAAGTCATAGAGCCCTTTTTCCACAACACTGTCTTTAATTAGTATTCTCCCAGGGAAAAATTGAAAATACAGGTAGTTTATGTCTCTTCAAATAGCCAAAATAATAAGAACTGAGTTTCCTATTTCAGTATGTTCAATTTACACACTTTGAAATTAATTTCCTGTAAGTATCAAAATGGTAACTAGAATTATATTTTCATCTTAGTAACATTACTTTAAAAAGCTGAAACGTTGTCAAAGCAACTCTTAAGTATTCATCAATTACAAGGATTTTCTGCATTCCAATTGCATTACTTCGGTGGTGAGATATGTTCTTATTTTCTGTAATAGAAGGGAAAGAAGACCTAGATTTGAATTATTCCCTTACCACTTATGGGTTGGCTTTGGACACACCACTCTTTATGAAAACTTCTGTTTCATCACTTAGAAAATTAGGACAAAAGTGTTTTTCTCACATAGTGGCCATAAATGTTAGATTGAATATTGCAGCAGAAATGAGGCACAGACTCAAATACCTACAATATAGGGCAGGATATTAAACAATCATTAAAAGATGAAATATAGGTGGCAGGAAGTGCCATATCAGGGAAGACCAGAGGTCTAGAAAACTTGGCTGTGAGAATAATCTATATGAACTCTAAAAGGCTGTGCACTATTCACAATAGCAAAGATATGGAATCAACCTAGATGCCCATCAATGGTAGATTGGATAATGAAAATGTTGTACATATACACCATGGAATACTATCCAGCCACGAAAAAAAAAAAAAATTCCTTTGCAGCAACATGGTTGCAGCTGGAGGCAATTATCCTAAGTGAACTATTGCAGGAACAGAAAACCAAAGCCTGCATGTTCTCACTTATAAGTGGGAGCTAAACATGGGACACTCATGGACATAAAGATGGCAACAATAGAAACTGGAGACAACTACAGGAGGGAGGGAGGGAAGGAGGAAGAGAGTCAAGGTGTGAAAAACTAATGGGTACTGAGCTCAGTACCTGGATGATGGGATCATTTGCACCCTAAACCTCATTATCAAGCAATATAATCAAGCAATAAACCTGCACATGTACTCTTGAATGTTAAATAAAAGTTGAAGAAGTAAAAATAATAAAATAATAAATAAAATGCCGTGCATCCAAGCAGGTGGAGTGGCTGGAAGAGAGAGTGGGAAGCGGCAGGCAGTTGAGAAATATAATGGGAATCTTGGGCGGGATTCCATGAGGCTGGCATTAGAAATGCAATGTGAGGGCCAGGCATGGTGGCTCACACCTGTGATCCCAGCACTTTGGGAGGCTAGGGCAGGTGGATCATGAAGTCAGGCGATCAAGACCATCTTAGCTAACACGGTGAAATCCCATCTCTACTAAAAATTGCTTGAATCTGGGATGCAGAGGTTACAGTGAGCCAAGATCATGCCACTGCACTCCAGCCTGGGCAATATAGCAAGACTCTATCTCAACAAAAAAAAAAAAAAAAAAAGAAAAAGAAAAATGCAACATGAGGGCCCATGAGGCTATTCAGGAAGGGACCTGAGGATGGGGAACTGGGTTCTTGAAAAGCAAAGCAAGGTCCAAGGAGAGATGTCACATTTTTCTGAGACAAGAGAAAAGACAATATTCTCCACAAGATGATCAAGCTCAGCATAGAAGAGCACAGGATTTGGAGTCTAACAGCCTTCATGAAGAGAAAGAACAGCTTACCTGAATACACCTAAATAAAAATTAAACATTAACACTAAAGTATGCAGCGATGATCATAAGAGCAAAAAGCATTCAGGAAGAAAATAGTCTACCTTCAGGTATTAGAAAATTTGAAGAAGGCTTCCTGGAGGTTATGGGATCCAGCTGGGAGCCTTCAAGTTTTAGAGGGAAGGAGGCATTGTGGTATTCAGTGTTAACAACCAGTATGGAGGCCAGAAACAAAACAACCAAGGGAACGGTCTCATCAATAGACAGAAAACGCAAGCAGACATTTCTACCAGATGCTCAATAGCATCTCCTTCTGAAATGAAACAGAAACTAAACTATAGGTGGAGGTGAGGAAAAAACATGGGAAATTATTCAAAACACATGACTTTGGTTGCACTTTTATTTTCTTAAGAAAAATATAAACTTGGGTATTTGCACTTAAAACAAGGCTTTTCTCTCCACGGTTTACTACTGATTATCTGTTTTCTGGCTGTACTATTGTATTTTATGTAGAAGAAACTGTCTCCCGGTTATATGCAAATCAGCAAGAAATTAGATTCGTGTTGTAGTTAATATTCTTGCTACACTACATGTTAATTGACTAAGGAAGTAATTTTCACAGATTCTCCATATCCTGGCTTTGACCGAATAGCATATATTATATAAATATGCAGGTCTCACACATTTTTCTCAGCTCACTTATCATACTCTCATAGAGTCAGAAACCTTTACTACCTACTCAGAGGATGCTCCTCATCCACCCTCACCCCAATTCCCAGATCCCAGACCCTCTTTTCCTCACATGAGCTTGCAGGCTGAGTTATGTCTGGAGCTCTGGAGCACATCTGTCCTTAAAAATGATACTTAGTTCACTTTTATTAGCAGTTGTGCTCCATCCTTGGACCCCAGTAAAGGTTCCTAGAACAAAGTCCTCATTTTATGCAATCTCTCTGATGCCTACTGGTCTGCATTACTCCTTTCCACGTGCAGCTCAGAAAATGATCCAGAATTCAGAGCCTTTAGAAACAGAACCCTATCCTGCCTTTGCCAACCCTGCCTCCAAGGCGTGTGTTGGTTTCAGGCAGGTCAGTCCTGCTCCTTCAGAGTTGACCTTCCTAGAACCCACCATGTCATGGAAGCAACATCTCCAGTTTCCTTGCCCATGTTCATTAGGCAAGAATGAAACCACTGCCAAAGTGCATGCTGATCTTTTAGACAAAATGCAGTTTCCTCCAACCATTCCTTTGTCATTGGCCTCACCTCTGTCTCCTTTGTCCTACTGTCTGCATACTTTTTCACTAATTACTTTGTTCAATGCCATAGTTTAGTGGTTGAGATGATGGTATAGATTATTTTGACTCTGTTAGCCTTGGTTGGAAGACTAAAAACCAAGAGAACTAACTCAGTCTCTTCATGTAGCTGGACCTATAATATGTATACACTTATGAGCAATGGAGAAGCCATAAACTGCTGGTCACAGTCACAGGAGAGCAAAGGAAGTACAATCTACAAACTAAAATTAGAAGCAGAGACAAGGCAGAGTCCCAGACTGCCAACCAAACGATGTCCATGACCTCCTCTTTCAGGTTACATTCCTTCCCCTTTCAGGTTAGAGAGCCCTGATCTCTGTGATAAATTTCCTTGAATAACTATCTGTTCCAAAGTGTCACAATAAATACAAGTTCCTTGTGACATACCTAATGGAAAATGGCCAGGCCATGTGAGTCTGAAGCTCTGGAAAGATAAGAAACAGGGCCTCATGCATTTAAAAAATAAATGACAGCTGAACATGATTGCCTCTCCATGGGATGCTCTTTTACACCTTCTACCACCACCTGAGTCACCAACTCAAAAGCTGGTCATTGTGTCAAATGTCAAATGCCTCCAGGTAGAGAGATTATGAGAGATTAGCCTCTCCTTTCTCTAAATTCCATTGCACTGAGTTCAAGAAAGCCAATTATATTCTGCACGCTGATTTTTCTAAAAACAACATGGGGTGGAATGGGGGGAGCTAATTTAAGGGTTTACCTAAGCAGTTTATTTATTTATAAATAAATATTATAACAAAATTATAAAATTTATTTATAAATAAATACATTTATTATAATACTTTTTACAAATAAATATTATAATATTTACTTATAAGTATTCATTTAAGCAGTTTTCTCACTCTTATAGTGTTTCTAGGAAGTCTTCTACAAACAGCTCAGTTCCTGATAGGCCTGCTATTCAGATAACTGTTACTTAAACAACCTTCCCATTTAGAAATCCCAGAAATCTTCACTTTCTCTTGTAAGTCACAAACTTACATCTCCACCTAAAGTCCATCAGTCTTTTTGAGAGTCATTAGTCCAAAACACAAGGCTTTAGCAAAACAGATAGTTTCAGTATGTGAATGGCCTGCACCTAAAAAAACAACATTGTCACAAAAATCCTGAAGCTGGGACATCTGCATTTCTCATAACATAACATAGCATAAAATTGAATTATCCCATGTTTAAATCACTTTGCTTCCATCTGGTTTTAATAAATGGCAATAACTGAGAGATGAAGGAAGGGAAGTAAGATGGGAAATGAAGTGGACATTCTACATCATTTCCCCTCTGGAGAAATATACCATCATCTCATTCTCTTCCCCATAACAATGAAAACATGTTCTCAATCCCTATTGCCCTGAGAAGCAATAAATTGTAAAACTCTCATATTAGAACTTAAAAGCTTTACTATCTTTATATTAACTTAAAAATAGTGAATATCATCTGAAAATAATTTTTCATTATTTATTTTATTATTATGCAAAGTCAAAAAATTGTCACTGCTATGGCCTGGGTGAAAGACTCTGAGCTTTTCTATTTTATGAACTTCTGTTTTATTTTATTCTCTTAATATAACAACATATTTTTTTCTTTTAGTCTGTTAAAACAATTTTTTAAAAGTCCATCTTGTTAAGAAAAAGCCTAAAAGTACCCTTTATAAACTCAGTACAAGACATAGAATAGCATACTGTAAGTTATTACACATTAATATCTTATTAATTATTTACTATGAATAACTATGCATCAAGAAATTGCACAGGGTTTCTACCAAACTGGTGTGTTTGAAAAGATATGATTAATTGCTAGAATTTGGTATTCTTTTCATTAATTGAGCAAAAAAAAAATGCAGTACTAGACATCTCCAATGTAAATAATATAGTTCACTAAGAAGATAGAAACAAAAATTTAGATAATGAAGAATTTAAATATCTTTTGAAAACACTTCAAAGTAAACCTAATGATTCTTAAGAATGGCCAAATAAATGTTTGCTGTTATGAGCATCAGGCCTTAAACCCCACACTATCAGCAAGAGAAATATTATAAGCTTAAGTAAGGCTTATTCTCAGATCCAATGGATATTAAGCTAACACTCTGCCAAGAAAAACATTTCTCCTTCACTGACCTGAGTAAGAGTCCCTCCTATGTCCATGAGAGGAAGTCATTTGCCAGATGTTGCTGTTTATTTTACAAGTCTCTCTTTGACTTACGCTTATTTTTTCTTGACCTTCCCAGCTTCTCCCATATTGAGAAAAATCAAGAACTCTGCAAACCATGCTAAGGAAGTATCTAACTGTTCCAATTAATACATGTGTTCTTGTTTATGAACCCAGCCTAAATGCTGATGGAGGATGAATGATTAGGCTTTTGCCTTTCAATACTGTCTGGACATCTATCAACAAAACAGACGATTTTACAACTTAGCACCATGAATGGCATCAATGATAGAAACTTTCCCTTTTGTGGTAACACAAGCTGTTAACGATAAATCAAGGTAAATTAAATAAAAGAAAGTCAAAAGAAAAGATTGTGTTGTTTTGTAAAGACATTTGAAGTCCCAAAAATCACACAATGGAATGTCAGAGGTGAGACTTTACCAAATAGGATTCAAAAGATAATTTCTCTGCAATCTTGTTTTCCCCCTCCAGAGAGAAAATGGCTGATTCATGCAATAACGCCTTGATTGTTCAATATCTATGTTACGCACACTTTGCCAACCTTACGCTAAAAGCACTTTCTGTTCATCTAGCCCACTACGTCATCAAGGGTATTATGTTTACCATACCTCCTTACTTAAAGCCAAATAGGTTTTTGTGGTGGGAGCCGCCTCTGCAGTTGTGTTCAGATTTAGCTTTCACACTCTGCTATTCCCATTGTCTTGTTCTACTTGTTATCTTCTAGGTCCATTCCAAAACTAGGAGCTAAAAAAAACTGAGATGACAGCTAATGGGGCCAGGAAAACAGAGAAAGCAGAGTTGAAGTCAGGTCAGCTAAGAATATTCTGCAAATGAGCTCAGCGGGCCTGAGTTCTTCAAGGGTTACATCAAAGAACTCAAAGGGCTTGGATTTAAATCATTTCTAAGTATATCTGAGAAAATTTAGAACTTAGTGAAAACATACATACAAACAACCCTTTATATTATCCCTGAAGTATATCCCAATACCCAGAGAATGGCCCTGGATACATAGTAGGTGTTCAATAATGAATGAATGAATGAATATATATATATATATATATACAGTAATTCCTGTATGACAGACTGAGCAAAGATATCCTTACAATACCTTATTAAGGTATTCAACTGTTAGGCTATTTTCTCCCTTTTAATTTTTTGGCAAAAATTCCCGCTTGGGATTAAGCAAAATTTGCCTCCATTATCCTGCAAATCTCCAGAATTCTTCAGATCCTATTCGCCTGATTGACCAAGGGTTGAAAATATCTAATTCTATAATTTACATGTTTTTAATTGGTACAGTCATGTGCCACATAACGACATTTCAGTCAATGACAGACAAGATACTATAAAAATGGTCCCGTAAGATTGTAACGGAGCTGAAAAATTTCCATCGCCTAGTGACTTTGTAGCTGTTATAACATCACAGTGCAACACATTACCAAGTGTTCCTGGTGATGCTGGTGTAAATAAACCTACTCTGCTGTCAGTCATATGAAAGTGTTGTACAAACAATTATGTACAGTATCTAACACTCGATAATGACTATGTTTTATGTATTTACTGCACTATACTTTTTATCTTTTTTTTTTTTAAGATAAAAAGAGTTAACTGTAAAACAGCCTCAGGCAAGTCCTTCGGGTGGTATTCCAGAAGAAGGCATTGTTGTCATGGGAGATGATATTTCCACATGGTTACGGACCTTCCAGTGGGACAAGATACGGAGGCGGAAGACAGTGATATTGATTTTTCTGACTCTGAATGATGAGTAGGGGTTTCTAAAACTCCTTTCAATACTAATGCCATTTTTTCTGAGGGCCAAAAAGTTACTCCAGTCCTGTAAGCTCCATTCTTGATAAATGCCCTACACAGGTGTACCATATTTTATCCTTTAGACTGTATTTTACTATATCTTTTCTATGTTTACATATGCTTAGCTAATATCAGTACTTATCCTTGTGTTACAATTGCCTACAAAAAGATAAGGTAAGTAAAATACACAGATATTTTTATGAAAGAAAATAGGCATGAATTAGCAGAAAAAGAAAATTAAAATATATAAAAAATATAAACTCCATTGCTTTTATCATTAGATTCAACAGACGTAACATTACACTGTTAAGTTTTTTTCAACTATTCTGAAAGTTTCTGAACACTCAATTTTTCTTTCTGGTCACAAACTGCTATCAAGTCTGTTTAGCAGTATCAATCTGTGAATCACACTAATCAAAAAAAAAAAAGGTCACATTAGTGTAGGCCTAATTTTGTTCTTTCTTTTGTCCTGAATTGACCAGACTTAGGTCTGATCAATTAGGGTGATAACTCAGGTTGTTGTTTCATATCACCTTCTTTCCATGACATTCAGCACTAATATCTTTGCAGAAAGGAAAGATCACTGTGCGTTCTTGAAAATTGTTTCCAAAAATATTTAAGCATACAAAAGTCATTTTAAATCATTATATCCTTCAAGTTTTTAAAAAGTGAAGATTCAAGTATTTGTCACAGGTCAGGAAATAAAGTTTACTAAGAAAATGTCTCCTTGCCAGGAAAAGTAATTATTCCTGCTTACACGTGTCTCTCTTCTCCCACTGAAACGCTACTAAGCCATATTTTCTTGACATTAGGGAATAATGAAGATATATGTCCAGGCAACACTTGAGTTCATACAGGAGACTGTATAACTCCCAATGCGTTACCCTTTCTGGTGATTAGAGTATTTCTGGATGAGAATGATTAGGAGAAAGAAGACCATGTCTTACATGTCTCTCTTTCTATTTCTCTCTCTCCCTCTGTCTCTCTCTTTCTTTGTCACACACACACACACACGTGCACACATACATAGCACATATTATAATGGCTTAGTGGTTAAGTGAAGTGTGTGGCTTTGTAACCAGACACTTTTTATTCAAGTCCTGACGAACCCACTTATTAACCATGAAATCTCAGCAAGTCACTCACTCTTCTAAGTCCAGGTTTTCCAGAATATTTTTAAGTGAGTAAAGGCATTAAAAGATAGTGTTGAAGAATAGTATAGTAGAAGGTGGATAAACAACATCATATTTTTTCATTGTTGTCAGTTTCACAGGCTGGAGTTAAAAAAAAAAAAAAAAAAAAAGCACTATCATGAAACAGCCAGCAACTCCTGAACCACAACACAGTTTAAAGCATATTATCCAGAAGAAAAGCTGTGGACTCTTCTATGAAAACTCCTAATGAACAAGTACAACACTTTCTTTTAATACCATTGCCTTTTTCTCTGATGCCCAAAAAGTTACCAAGGCCTGCACATTTAAAAACCTGATTTTAAAATGCCACTATTCTGTATCATTAAGTCTGGGCTTACACATGCATATTTTTTAATTCATTGAATGATAAAAAATAGATATTTCTAAAACAAATTATTATTTGGATTTAACCAGCATTTTATAATTGCTTGCAAGGTTTAAACTCAGCAAAATGAACTTATTCTACAAAAAAAAAAACACAATCACAAGAGACACTTCTAAATTTATTGTTAACATTGTTCCATTACTCCTTCCCTCACTGAGAAAGATATAAGTTACTGAATCTCACACAAGCAATGAAGTACAATTTCAGAAGAACTTAAGTTACACAAAGCATAGAATTTTTAGTAAATTATTATCCCATAAGTGGGACGGGTCCCCTATAGCAGAGGGGTCATGAATCATAATAGAAAGGACATCAAATTTGAGATCAGAGGCAACAGGAAGACCACAATATCCTGCCAATTTTTAGCTGTGTTTCCAAGTAGTATTGTCTCATCTCTAAAATACAAATAATGATACATACCCCTAATGAGGTGTTGTAGAAAATCACGATACAACATATCTGAAAAGCATTTTGTAAGTTTGTGTATGTTCAAATGCTTGTAAAGATGATGTGGGAAAAATACTTCACATTATTTTAATTTACAAAGCTTCCACAAGGGCATAAACGCAGAGAGCATTGTTTAAGATAATAACATAGAAATACACACCATTACAACCATATAGTCTTGGCATCAATTGCATACATCTCAAGGTTGAGTATTCTACCAAGAAACTCCCAAACACAGGGCACTGTGAAGTATGTCACATTTCCCTCATGAAATACTCTTCTCATTCTCCCTCTTTTAAAGAGACAGAAAATTCAAACATCTTTCCAACTAGCCAAACTAACTATTCTGTAACAAGGAGTTATTTTTCTGAAGCAGTAATGAACAGAGCACCACTAAAATAGTGCTGTAAAACAAACAAAAAATGGAAGTATGAATACATGCCCATTCCGTTCCTTAGCTCTAAGAGAGGAAGAAAGCACATAAAATTGGGGAGTTATTGCCCACAAGGCCTTTTTTTTTTTTTTTTTTTTTAGCTGTGTATGGACATTGGCAATTTGGAAATATCCTTCTACAATTTCACTTCCCATTCCCCAGAGCAAACTGCGCATGGTCATTGTCTACAATCATGCTGTTCCTGTGATTTATGTTGGAGAGAGGCTCTTGCTCCTGTGCTGAAAACTTCCAAATTGCTTTGGTGGTTCAACTGCCAATGCATGTTAGTTTTGGCAGAGTGGACATGGAAAACTGTTCTCATATTCTTTGGCTCTTATGCTTTGCATGTCAGATGAAACAGCAATGCAGAACTAAAACTGTTCCAGACCAAAGAAGACTTTGGACTTCATTAAGCTTTTGGGAGACTCAGAGTCATAGTGAGAAAGGAACCCTTAATCCAGAGATGTGCCTTCTAGACCTGGCACTGCTGCTCATGGTGGCAAATCATTCTGCTTGCAAAGTCTCAATTTCTATGCCTCTGAACCAGGGAATTTACACTAGGTAACCTAATGATCACTGGTAAAATAGAGCAACTCAAAGTATTCAATAACTCTCCTATGTTTACATCAATGAAAGGCTTTATTTAAAAACCGTATCTTCTGTTGTCCTAGCCAAGATTGGAAGATAAATCACTTAAAGTAAGAAGTTACAGCTATATTTCCACCAAATCATTTCAATTTTTCAGTTGTTCATTACATATGTACTAGTCGTATGCTTCTGGTGAAATTAGATGAACGAAAACGTTACCTTTACTAACATACCGCTTCTCCTCTCTATTTCTTCCATCCACCAATGTCACTTGGAGAAGGAGGATTATTATTTCAAGCTATGGGAAAGCAAAAGGGAATCTGATAAGGATTTGTTTGCTTCATTTAAAAGAGAAAGTATTGAATTTTTATTTATGCTATTAAAGTAATACTGTATCTATAACAGAAATTTGAAAACAAGGTAGAAAAACAGAAATTGTCAATGGTTTTGCCACTCCTTGTCAACCATAATTTAGTAATTTTTCTTTCAGACTTTTTCTAGACATACACTTTTTAGAAGGAACCAGGGCTCCTTTTCCACTTAGTTGTGAGCATAACTCGTATACAATTTTGCATCCTGGTTTTTTCATTTAACATAAGCATTTTTCCACATTGCTACAAACTGTATTTTTCATGATTGCATATTGTTCAACAAATATATGTATATACTGGAATTTACAGAGCCATATTCCCTAGGTGAGTATTTCATGTGGTCAATTGCTAAGCAATTTAAATTATTTTAAATTTAAAAATGAATTTCTTTTTCTTTTTTTTTTTGAGACAGAGTCTCGCTCTCTCGTCCAGGCTGGAATGCAGTGGCACGATCTCAGATCACTGCAGCCTCCACCTCCCGGGTTCAAGCGATTCTTCTGCCTCTGCTTCCTGAGTAGCTGGGATTACAGGTGCCTGCCATTATGCCCAACTGATTTTTGTATTTTCATAGAAACAGGGTTTCACCATGTTGGCCAGGCAGGTCTGGAACTCCTGACCTCAGGTGATCCTCCCACCTCGGCCTCCCAAAGTGCTGGGATTACAGGCATGAGCCACCACACCCAGCCAAAAAAATAATGTTTTTTTTTCAGAAGATTTAGAATTGAAGCAATTTAAATTTTTGTATGTAAAGAACATAAAGCTTTCATCAAGGAGTGAGGGTGAGGATTGCATCACTTGTAGATCAAATATTGTAGCAAAGAGGAACAGCAGCCAGGAATCTCCCAACCACCAGGCACCTCTGCAGAATAGGGGCAAACAAGAGTTCCAAAGAAAGGCCTCACCCTATGCCTGGGCGAAGATCTGACAGCCAAAGGAAGCATGCCTTCCTTCTGGCAAGCAACTTAAAACAAATGCTTATTCCCAGGAGAAGTCCCGCCTACTTTACAGACAGGCAAAAATGCTCACCAAGGAAAATCTGATTTTCTACAACAGCAGAAATGGCTTCCAAAGTAGCAGGAGGTAAGGGGCCAATTTGGCGGAGGCCAAATTCTACCATCCCAAAGCGCTGCAGTGCAGTGAGATGAGTGAGCCATTCCCTGCAGAGAGGGAGTCATAAGGAAAAGGAACTGTAGTCAGTTTCTAGTCCCAATATATCCATAAGAAAATTTTCATAATTGCTCATATTATGAAATTGCAGAGTCTGCAATATATTCATTTATATTATTTATAGACATTACAAAAACAAAACTTTGTAACTATTTTTGTTTCTTCAAGTAGCAACGGAGTTGGGGGAATACATAGAGGATTCATCCCTCACTAACAGCGCCATCTTAGCCGAATTATGTGTTTACATTTTTCATAACTATCCTAAAAGATATATGGAAGATATAAAATCATATTGCTAAGAAAAATTCCCAATAGTAGTTTAAAATGTATCAGTGACAATAGAAAGGGATGTCTCTGTTGATGACTTAGAGAAATACCATAGCTAAATTAACATAGGCCTTGAAATGTGAAGGCATGGAATAGTGATTTTGCAAAGGTTGAGAATTAAAAATGACTTTTGACCAAATGTCTTTAAATAGTCAGAAAAATAAACTATATAAATCCAATTGTAATATACCTGAGTGTACACGTCCTAAGGAAATACAAATTGCCATCAGAGAAGGTAAAACAAATCAAAGAACATTATTTTGATGATGAAGTCTATTAGATACTGGGCTGATTATTCAGTTCCTTAATTCCCTTTTCTTCAAAGTATTTAAAACATGGCCGAGAACTTTCTCTCTAAAAAAAAATTCGGGAGGAATTCTGTGAAAGAGAAAGCTGGCCAGTAGTCTAAACAGTCTCTTAGAAGCTCTTCTTGTATATTAATCCTGAATTTCACTCATTACTCATCTCCTTAGAGGTAATCCAAACAGATTAAGAAGATTTTTCCCCCTTCTTTTTGGCTTTGGGAACTAGAATAAAATTAATATTTCCTGTTCTCTCCCAAGAACCCTGGAACCTTTGCAAACAGTTGTTAAACATCTATAACTCCTTCCCACATTCATTTAACATTTACCACCACTCCCAAGATAAGCAACACCCACTTTAAGGTATTATAGTGTCAAACACTGCAATAATGAAAAGAGTGACTTACAGCAGCTGCTAAGCACAGGCTTCTGATTCAAGAGAATACAGCAAAAAGAAGAGATGATTTTTGCTTTAGACAAGAATTGGGAGAGTTTCTAAATTCTATTACTACTTCAAAGCCTCATTCTGTTAGACAACATACAACTCAATTTATAACTTAGTTTCACTTTTCCTTCAGGCCAAACTATATGGAAAACAACAAGGCCCACTAAATTTTATTTTTTGTATCGTACATTCATTTTGTTGTGCAATTCCAGTTTGTTAGAGTCAACTGCAGCAATGTTTCATAATTTACTCTGGTAAATCTCTGCTGGTTTTCGTAAAGAAAAACTTAAAGAATTTTAGCAAAGATTGATGTGCTGCACAAAATACACTTCACATATCAAATTCAGAATGCTGAGAGAAAACATCAAAGGAAAAATGGTTCCTACCATCTTTCAGAAAGACATCTTTGCAAACGTGGCTAACCAAGGGTTTATGTAATCTAGCATTCTTAAAGGGATTTGGTTTTTGTCAGGAGATACGTTAAATTGAGTAACACTCAAAGGAGAGAAAACAAAACCCACAAGACTGTCTTTGCACTTCAGTCTTCAAGTCATTCTTTACCAAACAGCAGTAACAGTCCCATTAATGCAGTTCACGTCTCCCCGACTGTTAGTTGATTCACTTGACTTCATACACTGTTAGTATAAATTTTAAGTAAAAACTCCTTTAAGTTTTAAAGATCTCTATCTCTACAGTCAATGATGCAAAGGTTCAGGCCAAGACTCTAAATTATAGTGCTTGGAAAACAAGAAAAAGACAAATTTTATAGTGTTTCCCAATTAAACAAAGAAATACTTGATCTAGGATTGAACCACAGCCCCTGTATCATATATGACCTCCTTGGTTAATGCAATCTACTAACCAGCAAGAATTTACCATGTTATAACTTTGTGATTATTTTTGCTTTTATTTGTTACACAGATTTTTAGAAATTAGGAATCCAGGCATCATGAAAAAAAATTGTTGTCTCACCCAATGACTCTAGAAATCCTTGAGAAAGTATGATGGAGAGTTCATCACCAAATGGATTTTAACACTTGGGTGCATGTTTCTCAAACCTGTATGCGTTGGAATCACAGTGGTTGAGTTGAAGCACCT